CCATCCCCAAATCACCATAGATAGGTCCGGTCCTATAAACCATCCCCCACATCACCATGGATAGGTGCTATAAACCATGCTCTACATCACCATAGATAGGTGCTATAAACCATCCCTCACATCACCATAGATAGGTGCTATAAACCATCCCCCACATCATCATAGATAGGTCCTATAAACCATCCCCCAAATCACCATAGATAGGTCCTATAAACCATCCCCCACATCACCATAGATAGGTGCTAAAAACCACCCCCACATCACCATAGATAGGTGCTAAAAACCATCCCCAAATCACCATAGATAGGTGCTATAAGCTTTCCCCAAACCAGCTTGTTCAGACGTTCTTTTGCAACTGACTGAGAGCCACTCGATCCATTGCTACCATAGGTAGGTGGTATAAACCATCTCCCAAATCACCATAGATAGGTGGTATAAACCTTCCCCAAACCAGCTTGTTCAGACGTTCTTGTGCAACTGATTGAGAGCCACTCGATCCATTTCTACCATGGGTAGGTGGTATAAACCATCCTCCAAATCACCATAGATAGGTGGTATAAACCTTCCCCAAAACAAGCTTGTTCAGACGTTCTTCTGCAACTGATTGAGAGCCACTCGATCCTTTGCTACCATAGGTAGGTGGTATAAACCATCCTCCAAATCACCATAGATAGGTGGTATAAACCTTCCCCAAACCAGCTTGTTCAGACGTTTTTCTGCAACTGATTGAGAGCCACTCGATCCATTTCTACCATGGGTAGGTGGTATAAACCATCCCCCAAATCACCATAGATAGGTGGTATAAACCTTCCCCAAAACAAGCTTGTTCAGACGTTCTTCTGCAACTGATTGAGAGCCACTCGATCCTTTGCTACCATAGGTAGGTGGTATAAACCATCCTCCAAATCACCATAGATAGGTGGTATAAACCTTCCCCAAACCAGCTTGTTCAGACGTTCTTCTGCAACTGATTGAGAGCCACTCGATCCATTTCTACCATGGGTAGGTGGTATAAACCATCCCCCAAATCACCATAGATAGGTGGTATAAACCTTCCCCAAAACCAAGCTTGTTCAGACGTTCTTCTGCAACTGATTGAGAGCCACTCGATCCATTTCTACCATGGGTAGGTGGTATAAACCATCCCCCAAATCACCATAGATAGGTGGTATAAACCTTCCCCAAAACAAGCTTGTTCAGACGTTCTTCTGCAACTGATTGAGAGCCACTCGATCCATTTCTACCATGGGTAGGTGGTATAAACCATCCCCCAAATCACCATAGATTGGTGGTATAAACCTTCCCCAAAACAAGCTTGTTCAGACGTTCTTCTGCAACTGATTGAGAGCCACTCGATCCATTTCTACATGGGTAGGTGGTATAACTAAATCACATCCTTCCCAAACTTGGTAACTGCCACTCGATGGTATGTATAAACCATCCCCAAATCACAATAGATAGGTGGTATAAACCTTCCCCAAAACAAGCTTGTTCAGACGTTCTTCTGCAACTGATGAGAGCCACCGATCCATTTCTACCATGGGTAGGTGGTATAAACCATCCCCCCAAATCACCATAGATAGGTGGTATAAACTTCCCCAAAACAAGCTTGTTCAGACGTTCTTCTGCAACTGATGAGAGCCACTCGATCCATTGCTACCATAGTAGGTGGTATAAACCATCCCCAAATCACCGTAGATAGGTGGTATAAACCTTCCCCAAAACAAGCTTGTTCTTCTTCTGCAACTGATTGAGAGCCACTCGATCCTTTGCTACCATAGGTAGGTGGTATAAACCATCCTCCAAATCACCATAGATAGGTGGTATAAACCTTCCCCAAACCAGCTTGTTCAGACGTTCTTCTGCAACTGATTGAGAGCCACTCGATCCATTTCTACCATGGGTAGGTGGTATAAACCATCCCCCAAATCACCATAGATAGGTGGTATAAACCTTCCCCAAAACAAGCTTGTTCAGACGTTCTTCTGCAACTGATTGAGAGCCACTCGATCCTTTGCTACCATAGGTAGGTGGTATAAACCATCCCCCAAATCACCATAGATAGGTGGTATAAATCAGGTTTATGGCATTGTTTTACCCATATTACTTGACATACCATGCTGTTAAACCCCAGCAAGACACCAGGCCTACCTCTCGGAACTGATGAGCGAGATCCGCGAGTTCGAAGATCGAATGTGGGAGACCGAGAGAGTCCTTTGGTGGTCAGGAAATAGATGGCTTGATCACAAAGGTAGATGGGTGCATGCAGTTGCGTTTTGCCGAATTGCCGTGGACAAGCATGATGGATGAGATTTGCGGCATGCCAATTGGCTTGTGGAGATCTCATTCACCAAGTGGCACTCTTACTTCAGCCCTCTGAACAGGCAAGGTTTAAAACATGAAAGTGCACACGTCTTGAAGGAGAAGGCAGCAATGGGATGCCATCGGGATGGATGGACTTGGTCGGTTTCTTTCGGTTTAGTATATTTATTCCGGTTTTCTACATCTTATCGAAGGAAGTTTAGAAGTCAAACTTCCGACAATATGGACAGATGAAAAAGCAGAGGTGGGAAGAGTCAGAGAAGAGAAGAGAAGAAGAGGGAAGATCAGAGAAGAGAAAGAGTCAGAAGAAAGAAGATGCAGGTGCGCGAAAAGGTAGAAAAGTCGCGAAGCACTGTGTTTTTCCAATGTTTTGTGGCTCCGGAGGGTGGAAAAGTAGGCTCGCTAAAGCGGCGGGTGCGGAGCCATCTGGGGGGATGAGAGATGAACAAATGCACGCCGTTGTGGCGCGAAGGACATTTCGAAGTCAAAATGCCAAAAGCACTTCATTGTCGGAGCACTTTTGGAAGTTGTGATGTGGAAAAGTGAACGCCGTAGTGGCGCGAAGCACATTTCGAAGTCACAATGCTAAAACACACCATGTTCGGAACACGTTTGGAAGTTGAGACATTCAAAAAGTGCACGCCGTTGTGGCGCGAAGCACATTTCGAAGTCAAAATGTACAAAGCACACCGCGTTCAGAGCACTTTTGGAAGTTGAGATGCTCAAAAAGTGCACGCCGTTGTTGCGCGAAGCACATTTCGAAGTCAAAATGCACAAGGCACCTCAGCCTCGGAGCACTTTTGGAAGTTGAGATGTTGAAAAAGTCACGCCGTTGTGGCGCGAAGCACGTTTGTGGAGTCAAACATGTTAAAAACTTACGGTCTGGGGCCACTTTTGGACGTTCAGATGTCGTTTCGTGTGGCAGGCGCAAGGGATTCTGCACCTTGCCAAAAGTGAGCAAAACATGAGGGTTTTGTGGCAGTTTCAAAAACGTTGGTAGGCGTGGGACATTTGAAGAGGATCTGGAAAGATGCATTTCGCGTGGCAGGCGGAGTACAAGAAGCATGTTCATCAGAGATGTTTGGAGGTCAGGGCGCTGATTTCCTGAGAAGGGTTGGATTTTGGAGCATCAGATCCCCAGGTTTGCCAAGATGATTTTGCGTGACAGGTGCAGCACTTCGTATGACCTGGCCTCACTTTTTCGTGGCAGGCGCAGTACTTTAGACAGATGGAATTGAAAAATCGGAAGGTGCATTGGTACGAGGCCGTTAGCTCTGCACTCAACTTTCCATTTTTGAAGGAAGTCTCGCGGATTTGCTTCGTTTTTGATGTTGTCAACTTCGAAAATTGAGGATGTCTCGCAGAATTGCTTCGTTTTTGACATGGTCAAGTTCAAAAATTGACGAAGTCTCGCATAAATGCTGCGTTTTTGATGTTGTCAAATTCAAAAAGTGAGAAAGTCTTGCAGAAAAGCTTCGTTTTCAAGCTTGCAGATAGACAGAAAGGATACTGTAGATAGATAGATAGATAGATAGATAGATAGATAGACAGACAGACAGACAGACAGACAGATAGATAGATAGATAGACAGACAGACAGATAGATGGATAGATGGATAGATGGATAGATGGATAGATGGATGGATAGATAGATAGATAGATAGAAAGATAGATAGATAGATAGATAGATAGATAGATAGCTGGATAGATAGATAGATAGATCGATAGATAGATAGATCGATAGATAGATAGATAGATAGATAGGCAACTACAACTACAACTACCATTACACTACGCTACTACTACAGCTGGAAATGCAAATATACTACGCTACATTACATTACACTAATTACATTACACTACACTACCTACATCCAATTACACTACGCTACACTAATTTCACTACAACTACAAGAACAACTGCTACTACCACAACTACAACTACAATTACAACTAGAATGCATAAACTACACTACACTAATTACACTGCAGCGCGCTACTACAAATACAACTACAAGTCATTACACAACGCTATACTACACTAATTACATTGCACTACACTACAATACAACTACAACTACACTACAGCTCCACTACACTACACTACACTACACTACCACTACAACTACAACTGCAACTGCGCCACACCACACTACATCCAGCGGTTGTGGTGAGGTGACCACTGCAACCATTGCAACCACTCCAAAAAACACAACTCCAACCACCTTTCGGTCCATCAGTGGATTCGCCCTGCCATCCATGCATCACAGCAAGGTGACTATCTTTGAAACTTCCGCCACCGGCTTGTGCGGTACTACTGGTAAGTTACGAATAATATATCGGACGGTGGGAAAACCTATGGAAAAACATCTGATTAAACAGAACCAAACAAAATCCCTCGCATGCATCATACATCTTGGCCTTTCAGGACTCGAAACAACTAATTTTGGGGAACTTGCAGACCTTGGAAGTTTCGTGTCTTTGTCTTTCACCAAACCAGATGGAACTGTAAAAGCGACGCTTCAGCCTACAGCGCAGCGTGTGTTGCGTGACACACAAAACAAAATCGAGGTGTTGGAAATTGTTTTTCAGCATTTGGACCTCTAAACTCCAAAATTTTCCCAAATTTTTTCCAAGTCTGATCTCAGATCCTCTTGGATTTTTTGCAGAATGCCCACAATGCCAGGAACAGGAGCTGTCAGAAAAGCTGCTTTCCATCCAGATCGAGTGCCTTGGTGATCTGAAATCTTCATCTTGACATACTGTGGTTGCGAAATCCGAATCACCAGTTGATAGGTGCTACACTGCTAAACATCCCATTATTCCTATAGGGTTTCAATATGTTTCAAAATGTTTGAATATGTTTCAATGATCCTTTTGGTGATTTTGGAAAACCATGCAGACCATGCATCCTAAGGCGACGCTCGGAGAGGAGCCTGGCTGATGAGAAGTATGACAGCACGGCACTCAGGGTGAGGTTTTGGTCATGGCAGGTGGGTCAGACTTGGCTTCAAGTCTGCTAAGATCAGGTGGATGTCCTCAACTGAAGCATAAACTATGTCAACAAACAATTCATGCTGAATCTGCTACTCGTTTCATTTTTGTCTCTATGCGAATTGATCTGGATGCACTTGCTCATTTACGCTTTGGTCGGAGACTGCTGTGCATTTTTTCACTTGGGTTCGGATTGAACCTCCTAAAAACCTCTCAAAAATTGGATGGTGACGATAGAATGAATAACATGACAGCACACATATGGAGGTTTCCATAGTCATGCGGGTATCCCAAGCTCGCTGGATGGTTTATTTCCATGGGAAAATCCATCTATAAATGGATGAGAAACTGGGGGTACCCCCATGGATTGGAAACCCCCATATCAGGCATACCATGCAAATAGCTACTCACTACACTACATCTATGCGTTGGCAGATCTCTTCCTACAGCTGAAACAGTCCACTGAGCGACACGACCAGGCGCGGGGCCCTGGGGTGGCAAGGGAAAATTGATGGAGACGGAGAACTGGAGAAGACTTCCATAAGCCAATGGATTTTCCGGATGGCTACAAGATGGTATAAGAATAGATGGAGGCCTTTGCAGATCGTTTTTCACAGGACTGCAGGACCTGCCTGGGACGGGTTTCTCCTTAGACACTGCGCCCAAGGAGATCCGTGAGGCCAACACAAACTTCGATCTTCGCCACAAGAAGATGCAGGATGGCAGTGGATGGCAGCGGCAAGCCTATTTGAACGGCAGACCTCGAGTTTAAACTGTTTGAACCTTCAACAGAGAATACGCACCGGTCAGGGAGTCCAGGGTTCGTCCTGTTTTTCCAGGACGAGTTCGAGGGCACTATCTCGAAAGAGTACGAGAAGAACAGCAAACTTTTGGATGTGAGAACCTCAGACGTCAGAGCGCCTCTTTCCAGGTGCCGTCACAGTCGGGTCACAGGCCCTGCAGGCTGGTCTCCAATTCCATACCTTTTCCATGACAGGAGTTGCAAAGCCTTCGGGATGAATTCGAGGGCGACAAGTCCAAGGTGCTACAAATTCTACTGCTGAGATTGGCGAAATGTTGCACACTTTGTGCTTGTTGGTACACTTCTATTGTTGTACCTTGGCTTGGCACTTTGTTTCACCTTTGCGGCTGTGCCAGTTGCTGAAAGCCCATGAAGAGCAGCTTCTTCAACTTCGCAGTGCTCAGGTCTGACTTCATCCAACTCCAATCTTATCATGTCACCATGTTGCGAAAATTGTGGAAGAACCGTGGCCATGGTTCGCAATGAGGAAGTTTCAGAGACGATTTTGCCCCTGTTTTCTCTGTTTGAGATTTGCCACTCTGAGCATCCTGGCGCTGTGATACAGCCCATTGAGGAACAAGCTTTGAGAGACTGGAGGACAGATTATGACAAGGTGCCAAGACTGGACTCGTCGTTCGCAGTCGTTCGCTATGGCGAAGAACTGCCGCCGAGGTTTGCAGCCTGCTGAAATCCGATGGCTTGAAGTTTGAAGAAGCTTTGCGCCAGCAGGACGCCGCGCAAATCGATTTCCGAAGGTGTTGCTAGACCTAGTGGTGATGGTGTTGCTGATGCTGGTTAGCATGGTTTAGTATGATTCAAAGATTCACCAATGTGATTAAACTGAAGAACACCTTTGCAGGAGTTTGAGTACGAAAATCAGATCGTGGAAATCGTGGAAAGAGAGCGTGGTCCTGAGTTTAGACTCGTCTTCTCGTCCCAATCTTCCCAGATGTGCTGTGCCACCAGGGGAAACACCCGGAAGTACCCTCAACAAAATAGATGTGACTAGTGGATCCTAGTGGATCCTAGTGGATCCTACTTGGTGGATCATCCCACTTAGTAAGTGGGTTCAGTTATAAATGGGATTTTTGTAGGCTTAATCCACATCAATCACTGGGGTTAGTTATAACCCACTTACGATTCGTGGGATGATCCACCAACGGGTGTGACAGGCGCAAGGCTCTGCAGGACGAGTCCGAGAAGTCCGCCACAGCACTGAAGGAGAGCTGTCCATTGGGAGCTCAGTGAAAATGGCCATAGAAATAGTGGATTTTCCCATTAAAAATGGTGGATCTTTCCATAGTTATGTAAACGTTTACCAGAGGGTAGGAGATGTTTCCAGTTTTTGACGTTTGGAGTTCGCTTTCTGCACCATCCATGAAAAAGGAGATGCGTTTGGATCTCCTAAGATCTCCTAAGTGCCATCCGCGTCGACCAGGACGGAGTCAGCATGAAGCAGACCATCGGCATGTTGCAGAACCAGGCCACGTGACGCCACGTGACGCCACGTCGCCAAACGGAAGAGCCGCCAAACGTAATGGCTTCAAGGTGCCATCCCACTTAGAACTTGGTTGTTTTATAAGCGATACGAACTACTAGCTATAGATGATGTGACCAGGTCAAAGCAAAAGAGGCGGAGCTTGTTGAGGCGGCAGCTTGAAGCTGGGTTTAGGAAGCAGATTTCTTGGGGTCCCTGGCTATCAGATGATTGTTCGGTCTTTCTGGGTACGCCCAAATGGCTGATTTTATGGTATTTCAAAGAGATTTCCAAAAGTCTGGTCATCAAAAGGTGATACACCTTCTATCCCCAGGCTGCAGAACGTGAAGAAGCCTTGAAGAAAAAGTTGCAAGCTTCGCAAGAAATGGTGGAGAAGGCCATTGATGCCGCAGATTCTGCTTCGTTTCCAGTGAGTTGAAGCAGCAAAGACACTGAGAGATGCAAAAGCTCAAGCTCTGGGCTTGATTTCTTCTGGCGCCACGCGGACACTCTGTGCCAAGCAGCACATTGACATGATCTACATTGCATAGATATGCATAAATGGCATAAATCATTGAATCATCCTCGATTGGATTTGGAAGATCTACCTATGAACAGGTCAGAGCTCAACTGAAGGAGCGAGAAAGAAGCCTAAAGGCCTGGATCCGACAGTCGCGTAGCACCTGTCATCAAGTACTGCTTCAGAGTGAAGAGAGGATCCAGCCAACCTTGATGCCAAAGTTGGGAAATTTGATGAAACTTGAATGACTTTGGTATGTCTAAAACATCTATGGCTCTTGACCAGATTTTTTTGTGTGGGTGGAAGCAATCTGACCGAACTGGACATCCGGGGATCTCCACAGGTAAAGGATGAAAGCCTCAACAAGTTGAGAGAGTCACTTGGCATCCCGCGCACATCGGGCCTTGGGATTCCACCGTTGTGTGCTGACTGGAAGCCATGCCGACCATACTGCAGGCAAATGAAGCACTTGGAAAGCTTCCGCTTCGTGCTCTTTCACAAGGCAAGGTCCGACATCCTGTGTATGATTGACATCATGCTGGACTCTGGCTGTAGGTGAGGGCACTTGAAGAAGAACGAGATCCGCTGGAAGTGCAGGCTGTGGGGGTTCTGGCATAATATCAATACGCATCAGATACCAGGCATTTACGTTCTCGTCTCGATGCCTTGGAGAAATTGAAGTCGCGTGGTGAGGTAAACTCACTCAAGACCAGTGTTCGAGAAATGTACACTGAGCCTGGCGCTTACCTTGTTTGTGGCTCTGGTAGTTTCCCAATCTTGGTGCTGTGTTCAGGGTAGCGGGGTAGCCCGATTTGTGTGTGTTTGCAATATTTTGTAATCCTTGATTGGTCCTTCACGGCAAGGAAATCCTGTTCCGCCCCTTGTGTGGGCACATGGGCTCATCTGAAATTCATCTGAACCACTCCTAGGTTTGTTCGTGAGTTCCGGCAGAAGCAAAAGCTGGATCATGCACTGAGCGCCGGGATGCTGAGTCACTGGGATTTTCAGAGCGTCGCGGAGTCGCGGACCCGGATTTTTGACGGCCAAGGACAAGAGCATGCTATCATCGTCCTTGCAACAGGAGAATGTGGAGAATCTCAGCTGCAGTGCAGAATTCAGCCTTTGTGTGAAAGTAGCTGGCACTATGGCAGTGCTTCTGAATCAATCATAGTTTGTACTTTTTTGCAGTGCACGCCCCCGATGGACACGACTTCCTTCACTGGATGTGTCTCCAATATGTGGTCAAGCTTGTTGGATTGTATACCGATATTGGGGGATCTTCATCAGCCCATTAATAGGGATTTATATGGATTTATGGCATAAAGATTACCAATCCTTATAAATCCCTATTAACCAGGTGTTGAAGCCTATGGGTATCCTGGTTAATCCATGTGTTGGATTTGTGTAGATGTACCCATTCTGTTTGGATTCCTGTTACGGGATCATGAATCCCATGTTGATGGCATAGGATTGGGTAAACCCTGGTTTTTCAACCGCAAAAAATCCGGTTGCAGTTTGACCAGGCTTCGTGCTCAGCTGGTGCAATTGAAGAAGGACCGATCTCACACAGTTTTGTGAGATCTTTTGGAGCTTTTGGTGACTTTACCCTCTCTGCAAGCACCTAGGGGTTATAATTTCAATGTTCAATCTAACCAGGCGGTTGTTACTGGTAGCTTCCACTGTCTTTGAGGTTCAGGAATTGAAGATAGCTGCCATGAAAGGTTTCTGTATCTTGTAGATCATAGTATTTGCATGTATTTGGCCGGTCAATCGTCAAATCACCAATTCATCCACTGTGGCAGGACAGCCGCCGGATGATGCAACAGGCAATTACCTTCAAGGGTCCAAACCCATGACCTGAAAAAGGGGCTGAAGCGACTACAATTAGGAGATTATTATCTATCTACCCTATCTAGCTACCTACCTATCTAGCTACCCATCTAGCTAGCTAGCTATCTAGCTAGCTACCTAGATATCTACCCATCTATCTACCTATCTACCCATCTATCTACCTATCTACCTATCTACCTATCCATCTTACCTATCCATGCTACCTATCCATCCTAGCTAGCTAGCTAGCTATCTATCTACCTATCTACCTACCTACCTATCTATCTATTCATCCATCCATCCATCTTTAGATAGTCGGTCCCTGTATCCGCTATTTTTGACGCATACACATGTGGATTTGTCAGTCAGTGACGTGTTATACCCACAATGCGCGATATGGGGGCCGTGCAAGGTGGAGCAAGTGCTACACCCAGATACTACGCAGGATTACACGCAGATGCCAAAGAAGCTGCAGGCGCTGGGCTTTTATGGCTATGGGTTAAGTCCCAGGGGACCACTGATTGGAATGTCTCTTTTGAGTAACTATCTCAGTGTTGGGGTACCCAATTTTGACTACCCAATTTTGAAGAGCTTGACCCAAAAGTGGATCCTCCTATTTTCTATCTGACGCATTTTTGATGCCATATCCGCGGCTCAGAGCGTCCTGGAGAAGCATCAAAAGCTCTTGGTTCGCGGCTCAGTTTCGCAGCATGTCGCAGGGTCCACCATCTCACGTGGCACAATGTTGCAGTGCTCCCCCTTTATTCTTTAGACTCATTAGACCCCGATTTTCGAGTGGCCCTCCACATTAGAGTCACATTAGACCCCCTTTTTAGCACCACAATCATTGTTCGACCCCCTTTTTAGCACAGGATTGGAAGCCCTCGGACGAGCCGGCAGACGATCAACGCTGCTGGGACGTGTTGACATGTCCACGCAAGAATCGTCACCTGCGGTTGGTCAACGCAGAGCACATCCGTCACATTGATGGTGTAGAATAAGTATCAGATGGTATCAGGTGGTTGGATATTTTCGACATTCTTTCACTTGACTTTTTGGGATTTTCCGCCGTTTCTCTTGTGACCTTTGGAGCTCCATCCCCATCGAGGATAGAGCGACCGAGGTAACGAAGCAGAAGCCAATGGCAAGGCACTCATCGAGGCTGCCACAGCGATGCTCCAGCGATGCCAGATCTGAGTCGATTTGGGGGTGGGTCAAAACCTATTATTATCAATTCTAATGGGATCCATTTACCAGCTATTTTGGGGTTCACTAGGTGCCAGGGTTTTGACCAATAGCCATTTGAGTCTAACAGGTGGCTCACACCATCTATCAACATCTCCCAGCTTCGGAGGAGATGGGAATCCAACGTGACCTGCTCTTCCGCAAGAAGGAGGTGGCCACCGCGCCCGGGCGCTCAGCAACTCAGATTTCTTCTTTTCGCAGATGTGTCACCAGTGTCACCATGGTGTAACCATCGTGCCCTGCCAGGGCGGCTGAGCAGACCAAGCGTGAGTGCACACAAGATGTGCGAAAACTTACGTCTGGGCATCCCAGCAGCCTCACCACAGTCCTCACAGCCATTGGTTGAAGACATCCTTTCGTTTTTAAACATGTAAAAACATGTAAACACCCAATGGTTGATGGATTATTAATCAGTTAATAATGATTAATAATAGTGATTACAGTATTATTAATCAGTTATCTAACATGTAAAATAAGCACTTCTTGCCCTTTGGCACCAAACCTTGCCAGGCCTCCTGGATTTCAGCCTCAATTTTCTCACAAGAAAAAATCCACTGAGATACTCCAGTCGTATTACACATACTCACATACTGCCACATACTCATAAGGCTATGGATCAATACCTATTAATACCATTTTTAGAGGAATGAACATCCATTTACCAGCTATTTTGATGTTCACCAGGGGTACAAGGTTTTGACACACTGCCATAACATCTCATAGCCACAATTTGAAGCACTGCAAAATCACCAGGTCCGTGGGGAGTTCCAAATCAGCGCACCAGGTCCGAGAATGCTCAGCTCATTGTGGAGATGAACACCTTGAGGGCAGAAAACAGGCAGGGCTGACGTGTCACCTTTTTACAACAAATCTGCTTGGTGGTTTCAAACATGGCGCTATTATTTTCCACAATAATTTGATATATCATCCTTCCCATTGACGAACTCATATGTTTCAAGATGGTTAAGTCACCACCAACCCGAAATCATGGTCATGGATGATTTGGAGGTACCCCGATGGCTTAAAAAACCTGCCATTTTCCCCATTTTCAGACACCCAAATTCGCCGTCTTGGTGGATGAGGATTCCAAGAACCAGGGAAAAATCCAATGGTGTAAAAAGCCGGGGAAAACACCGATCTATTCAATTATATAATTCTTACATATCTATAAACAAGCAAGTAACAATAAGAGACATAAATGGAGTAAAGTTACTTAAATCAGTAATAATTCTAAATCTACTACATTTCTGAAATTTTCTTCTATATCTTTGATTCGAAATCCTCACCACTTTTTTGAGAGGTGCTATCAGCGAAGCTGCAGAGAAATGGAGGCGCCTGCGCCAACCAGAAGCGATCCCCCAGAATTGTGACGTCAAACAACGGGAATGTAATTTTTTCCTTCTGATTTTTTTTTTTCGACTTTTGGAGATAGACAGGCTGAAACATGGCAACAGGGGTGGGCAGTTTCAAGCGAGGCCAATATCATGGCCTTGCGGGCGAAGACTGGTGCGCGAGGCCATGGGGCCACGGAGTCTACGTAAACGTTGGTGGAAAGGACATGAAAGGACCATTGATGAAATTTAGCCTCCGGTAAACATACAAAAAGCTGTTGAAAATGGCCATAGAAATAGTTGATTTACCCATTGAACATGGTGATTTTCCATAGTTTTTTGTATGTTTACCAGAGGGTAGAATGTAGCAAACAGAAGAAAAACCACTGAATGAAATACGGTGTCAATTTGTGAGGCCCAGTTCTGCAGTCTGTGAAGTTGTTCTGTTTATTTCGGTGGATCTTTTTTGCGCTGCTCTTTTTTTGCTTGATGTGGGAACGTGGCCGCAGGAACGCTGAATCAATCAGCGTCCGCACCGGATGTAGGTGGAAGGGAGGCAGGATGTTTTGAGAGGTAGTAGATTTTTGGGAACTGGTTTGTACATAACTCAGTGCTGGTGAACATAATCATTGACTTTTTCTTTGTAGAATCTGTAGGGGCCCAGTTCTGCTGTCCTACCTCCACCAGGCAGTACCTAACCGCGAAATGGTGATGAGTCAATGGGTTCGTAACAATTTTCAATCCAACGGCAATAGGTTGTTGTGGCTTTCTTTGGTCAAGACGACAAGTGCGGCACATTCTCTAGGCCCTAAGCTAACTTGTGCTTTGCTCCCAAGATATGCACAGCCGGCCATCTGTCTCCCCTCGTTTTGAATGGGAAGAAAACCTGCTTGAGAGGTATAGATGTCAGGTTACATCTGCCATTACTTTCATTGTAATTTCCTCCATGATTGTGGTTTACCTATGTTATTTATGTGAAGAGAAGCTATTATTCTTACTATTGTTCTTGATATTATTGATATATATATATATATTTTTTTCTAGATGCTGTAATAATCAATAATTGTAGAGCTTCGCACACCGGCGATGGCATAAGGGTTCCCTGTCGGGCGAGCTGCTGCTGTTGCCTTTTGTTGCTCTGAGCGCGCGCGGTCGGTCGGGAATGTGGTTTTTGAAGCAGGTCACAGTGTAGTATCTTACAATACCTTTAACATATCATTGCGCTTGACCACCGCAAGCAGTTTGTGCAAACTGCTTAGTGCCCTAAAAGCGTCATATTGGCCGTGTTTTTGCAATTTTTGAACCCTTGGAACAAAGAACACCATAAATACTAATGTTTTTGGAGCGCTGGAAGCCCACACCCACGGTATTTGCCGCTTCTTTCTTAGTCTTTTTCGTGCTTTATAATTTCTTGCTCCATCTCTTGTCCCCTCTTTCTGACGCGCTCCCGCTGTCGGCTGGTGTCGGCGGATAATAACAATAATCATCCTCCTCTTCCTCTTCCTCTTCCTCATCGTTTTTATACTTCAATCAATATCCCGTAAGCCGTGTTTATCCTGGATTATATGTAAGGCCTTATTAGGGGCTTATTAAGGCCTTAATGAGGTACTATTTTGGAAACACACACATAGTACCCAAATAAGAAGGGTATAAGAACAAATGCTTGTTCCAGTGTTATTTCACCATTATTTTCCAACAAGATGGCAATCAGGGAGACAACTGGATATTTGATTTTTGTTTGCAAAGAAATAGAGAAATACCACCA